TACTTTCAAAATAAAAATATGTAACATGGGTTTTGATAATTTTTTTCTTCAAGAACTGAAAAAAGTTTGTACTGTAAGTGAGCTCATTGTTTTTTGTGTTAAATCAAGGCTTAAAGTATTGACTAAAACTAAGTGTAAACGAAACAGTACGTTAATATAGAATACATCAGTCTCGACTGCAGGAAAATGATAAATTCCATTAAAGATGCATTTTGCCTTAGATATGAAAGATATGATTAAACGAAAACGAAAAGGAAAGATAACAAAGATTTGCAGGAACGTTAGTTTCTATTATAAGTATACTTATACTATCCTCAATTTCAAGAAGATATACATTCTATTCGTAACTTGTATAACTTGGTAAACTTGTATAAAATGATAAAGATCAGTACCTCGCATAGATCTATTGCAAGAAAATAAAACCAATCAGGTGTAATATGCGTTACAAGTTAATAAATTGATCGAACCAGCGATGATTGGTGGCAATATTTCCATTAATCTGCAGGTTCAAAGGCAAAAGACATGTTGGCAAACGAAGCGCAAGGGGGAACAACAATATCGACAGCAAACCATAGCAGTATGTCAGCAACTTTGGGGCTTTTATAACTGTGGATGAGGGACTGAAAACCTCATCCCAAAACTAAAAAACCCACTCGCAAAAAACTTAATGAGGTCTGGTTATGAATATTTTCATATCTACCTCTACCGCATGTGCAAAGTAGAGTCACCAACTCACATGTATTGAGGAGTTGAGGATAATAACGCCGAGAACACGTTCTTTAAGTGCAATAAGTGGGAACCCGAATGAGAAGTGGTAGCAGCGCAAGTTATAGTTTTCTCCCCAAAAATAGTAACAGTAATAATAATCAAAAACAACATTAACTGCAAATGCACAGCAATGAAATAAAAAGTAGATTTCAAGAGAAGACAGCAGGAGCAAGCAGATATAGTACGCCAGGACGAAATGTTAGGCTAGCCACTTGGTTCTTTAAATAAATACAATGCTCTAGTGGTTATAAATCTCACGATCGTAGTGTCGAGTCAATGTCAACCAAACATAAAATTACATGACCCGGAAATTTCTTGCACAAAACACCTATAATAAAAGGACTCATGTAGTTTAAGGCAACGTCTTGGGGAAACCATAAATGTTCCACATTCATATTTTCAATTTCAAAGCAAAAACAAAAAAGTGATTATACTATATTGGTCAAAATAATAATATCTATAAGGCTGTTTTTAAAACTGAATTCTGTTTGGATGAGAATCGATATGGAATTCAACAACCGCAAAATAATCACTACAGACATATTGTTTATTTTTTTTTAAGTAAATCTAAGAACACCTTTGAAAAAAAAAAATTTATGTAATACTTCTTTTATTTAGTAATACTTTTTTCAGTCGTCAATTATTACAGATTATTATTATTACCCATAACGATTATAGTAAATCGAGGACTTATTATAAGTTATATAAAATATGTAAAATATATAATACATACAAAATATATAAAATACATAAAATATATAAAATATATAAAGTATATAAAATACATAAAATATATAAAATATATAAAATATATAAAATGTATAAAATATATAAAATATATAAAATATATAAAATATATAAAATATATAAAATACATAAAATATATAAAATATATAAAATATATAAAATATATAAAATATATAAAATATATAAAATATATAAAATATATAAAATATGTAAAATATATAAAATATATAAAATATATAAAATATATAAAATATGTAAAATATATAAAATATATGAGCAAATATGCAAATAGCTATTTATAATTTCGAGGTTCGTGATAGCTTTGTAAAATGTATGCAGTCACGATACATAATAATAATTTTTTTATGTTTAGACCTCTAATATAAGTTTTATAATAAATCAAATTAATTCTTCAAATGAATATCCCTTTAGAAGAAATTGAACTGCCGAAACTGCGAATCATTATATTAAAATTATTCTTATATGCAATGGAGTAAGTTGAAACATAGTGGAAGTTTTACCTTTGAACAGAATTTAATATAATAAGAATCATAATTATACGTAACTTATAATATTATAAAGATTACCGAATGAGCACTTATAATTCTCAATCAGTTAAGATACTATTGTGCATACCTTCCACCACCATTGGTAACGAATTTAATCTGCTCCCATATAATTTTAATATATTTTGTTAATTATTTCGTTTCCTGGTGAATTTCCAAACGTTTTTGTATTGCACTACAAATGCTTATTTAAATGTTACTTTATAAGGAAAAGTTAGTTTCTGCTTTTAATTTGTTATAGGCTTTATATTTAATCTGCCGATTTTATGTTGATAAACACTTTTCGCTGGTTTCATAAAAGCAAGTTTCTAGTTTTGTGTGGTTTAATCTACAGTGCTCTGTTAGAATGCCTGTAATGTTATTCAAATTATTTCTTCTTTATTTAATATAGTCCTTAAGACATTTTAGATTGAAACTCTGTAAATGGTTTTGCTTATTAGTCCTGGTAGATTATGTTAGTACTTTGTTTTTGCTCTTCGTTCCAAAGAAGTAAGATGAAATTACCTCATTTCAAGCTGCAGATTGTCATAAGCTGAAGAACATATTAAAATTGTAAGTATTAAGATGAATGATAGTTATAATACTTTAAGATATTAAGATTCTAGGTTTAATGAAGTTATAGTGTATGTATGGCATACATTTGTATTGTAATTATTTTTGCCACGAAATACAATATGTTTAAAAATATTGTTTGTCCAGATATTTATTTTTTAATCTAAATTAAATAAATATGATTTAATTATACATAAGAAGCCAAATACTCATAACAAAGTTTTTATTTTGCAACTATTGTGAGAAATTGAACATAAGAAAAACAAAACCTTATAAAATCTTTTAAACTGCATTAGCTGAGTATGTAATGAGATGTATGCGATCAGTTTGTTCATACTGTTACAATGCAGATCTTAGTAATCTTTGGCCTAGTCAATTACACTATATTCCTTTCTTCCTTTCTGTGGTGATGTATTTCTTCTTTCGAAAACGCATTCACGGCTGACCCTTATATTGTGTACTTGAGATTTTATACATCAACAGTGCCTGCTCTGTAGGGCATTTTCAGAATTAATGCAAAAATATTGTTCTACTTTTACATATAGGTATAATATATTTATAATAATTTGATTGATATAATACTATTGAACTTTAGTACACTAATAATGTCCATTAGCGCACAGCGTTGGAAACATTAACAACTCAGAGTGAGTTATATATAAGATATAATGTAACAATTACACTATCATTTCTTATAGTGAATAGCGAGACGCAATAGATAGTAAAAATTGATTGCTTTATAGCTTTTAATGTAATTGCTTATCTGTCTTTCTTTCTATCGTATTGATCAATTAATATAAATATTGCTAAAATAAATATATCTCTATTAATCTATTCTGTCTATTATCTATAAAATCTCTATTATCTCTATCTAAAATAGATCACTCAATAAAATAAATATATTAAATAATTAAAGTGAATATCAGCCAAAAATTCAATTAATTAAAATAATATAAAATGAATTTTTGTTGTTGTAGATCACTACTGTTCTAAAAAGCCTCTTAATGAAATATACTAGTTTCTATTAAATATAATAGTCACTTCCGTTTGAAAAATTTGATGTTAAAAATTACAACTTATATTCACAAAATATTGGGCAGTAACATAAGCATGTATTTCCTAGGTTAGGTTCTATACGTAAGAAAAAATATATAAATCATGCAACAAAGAATGTCTCTACAAACAGAATAATATTGAAATTTAACAATTAAAAATAAAAATATAAATAATTAATTCAATTATTCTGAAGCTGGTTTATGATTTCGTTCTAATATAAACACAACAAGTGAATTTGTTAATAAAAACTTTCAGAGTAAATTAGCAAAACTCCAGAAAAATGTGCGTACATAAAAAAGCCAAGTACAGCATTGGGTTGGTTAAGGTGCGCTGACTCAGAGCTTCAAATTTGACAGGGCACGAATCCGATTACTGGTACTTGCAGTCTCAAAAATTTATTAACGAGTAATTAAATACAAAAATTATTTCCATGACCACTGATGATGGGCTATATTTGGCAATACTAGAAACAGCTATATGGTCAGCCAAAAATTCAATTAATTAAAATAATACAAAATTAATTTTTGTTGTTGTAGTTCACTACTGATCGAAAAAACCTCTTTCTAAATTAAATATCTAAAAAAATTGAAATCAATTTTTTATATCTCATTTCTCCACAGCAAAAGTGGGAGCCTTCAACGAGAAAAACAACAACAGTAACAAATGTTGTCACAAAAAAAATTGAAAAGATTTGTATTATAAGTTGTTTACTGGATTTGCAAAGATTACTTAAATGACTATTTCGAAATATATAACTTTTATTTGCTTAATTAAAATTAGCGGGTTTTTTATTAGGCACCTATTAACCTATTTAGTAACTGAATTTTTTATGCAAATGTACGTTGTTTCTGATATGAGTTAATACTGTTGTCATTTGTGATTGCAAACACTTTTAAGTGTCAAATTTCATTTGTTGTATGTTAATGAACTCATCTTAGACTCTTAAAAATTTAACATATAAAATCGATAAAAAATTTTTTGAACTTTCTACACAAAAAAAAAAATAAAAAAAAAACAAGCAAAAAATAAATTAAAAAATTTTATTAACAAATTTCAGTGAAACACAAATACCTTTTGTTAGGGTTTCTAGAAATAATTAATAAATTAACAACCTAAAGAAAAATTTCCAAAGAATTAAAAATATCTTAAAATTTGCATATAAGCATTTAATTAATTAAAATGAGTTAATCAACAAAATTAGAAGTTAATTCAACAGCAATTTTGTAATCAGTTTGGTATTTTAGTTAATTTAAATTAGTAATTAAATGCATTATAATAGTTTCTACTATTTAATAGTGTTTTTCTTCTTTTATTAATTATACATTTTTAAATATATTTAATTATCGTTATTAAAACTACAATTCACTTTATCACAGCACTTATAACTATTTTCGATATATAATTTCTTAACGTTTAAGTCAGCAGTGAAATTTGTCCATTGAATCTTCCATTCGCATTACCGGGCATATAGTAGACTGGGTAAGCTCCATCGGCGAAATTCAATGGAACTCCTTTCTTGCTGCCCACAGCCATAGCACCTTGATTTAAGTTGAAATTCGGCACCATATCCATTTTGTCAGGTATAAGTACATGTCGGTTTTCACCACTCAATTTCGGGTATTGATAGGCTTGTCCACTAATCACTGTACGATGATAAGGAACTATAATTGTTTGTATTGGGGAATCCTTGTAGGGTCTTGCAATAACTGAGTTCGTTAAAATTGTTAAAAATAGCAGCGCTAAAGTTACTTTTGGTTGCTGGTTATTGAAATATAAAAATTTTTTCAATAAGTATTTATTAGGTACTAAATCTTTTAAACTTTTATATGTTTACGGAAATATGTTTGGTGAATTGCTTAATTTGTTGTGATAAAATATGACCATTCTAAAAAAATCAATAATTACAGATGATCATTAAAAGGTTTTAGACCCTGTAATTGCGATATGATTAGTTATTTGTAAAAATATAAATAATTAGTATCATATTTATGGAAAGTAAAACAAAAAAAAAATAATTTTTTGGTTACTAATTAAATTATTGCAATTTAAAATATAAAGAAAACTAATTCATTATTTCATTTAAAAATTATGAACATTTTTAAAGTAACATGATGAAAATAAACATCATGTGCTCTATTTATATGGAACGTTTAGTACCTTTAGATAATCTGAAAGGACAAAAATATACTGAAGGCTACGTGAAAGGTGTTTTGCGAATGGGAAAAAGCTTTAAACGTTAGCCGACTAATTCTAATTCTATATCTTAACAAAGCAGAAATCTTCAAGAACTATGGCCGGATAGTTGATAAAAAATGACATTGCAAAGGTTTTATATGAACGAATTGGATTTGGTGAATCAACTATAGTAAAAATTTGTCCATCGGTGTTTTTTTGGAGAAAAGAAAGATTATTGGGGCATTAGGACTAATAAAATTTTACTGTAACTTTTCTCTAACAATTTTTAATAAATACTTAAGAATTTCATTAATTTTATTTTTTCAAAGGATAACAATTTAGACTTTGAAAGGTATTATGTATGTAGTCTTAGGTCAGATTGTTATTAGAATAACCCATATTTGAAAATAGTAAGGGAAATATGAATGGATTGTATGAAACATGAATGAAAAGCCTATGAACTAGCCAGAAAAGTGGTGATCTCATATTATATTGGATCGAAATCATTTTGCGGTTCTTCATCGAGATTTTCCAAACTTAAAATTAATGAATGGCAGAAAAATGCAGCTCAGAATGATTGGAATCATGTAATTGCCTGCAGACAAGCTAAAGACTTCGTTCTGATTCGATCCTAAAGCCAGCTTTAGGAAGCTACTAATATTGAACAGAAAAGGCATCCGAATTGTCACAGTGTGCCTCACTGACCATAACTGCAGACTTTGTCACGAAGAAGAGGAAAAAGCAGAACACATTCTGTGTCACTGTGATATTCTTGCCAGACTGAGACTTCAGTACTTATCAACAACCTATTCATAACGAAAATAGGCGACTTCTCTCCAAGAGAAAACTGCTACGCATTTATAGAACTAAAGTAGGCTTGTCACAATAATCCTCAAACGATGCGTGGTGATATAGTTTCCAACCCTTTTAAAATTTAATCTAATCTAATGGATTGCAATATAAATGAATAAAGTGAGAAGTAAAGGTTATATTATTGAATTACAAAAAATATTCTAAAAATTATAACGAGCTTATAACGAGTAAAAGCATTATTATTAATGTTAATAATTTTTTTTCCTTTTTTTATAATTTCTTGATGATAAATATAGAGATGTGGATTTAACCATCGCTCCTATTAGAACATAGGGTGGTAAATTTTAATAATAATGTATTATTAATAATGCGTTAAAAAAATCAATGAGTTTTGATTTTGACTAAAAAGCATTTAATACTTTTTGTCCAATTATTATTCTACTATTTTTTTAATAAAAATATTGATTTAAGAAAACTTGTAAGAAATTTGTAATAATTGTTCTTGCTCTCTGGGTAAAAAAGGGTAAAAGAGGTGGATTAATTTGTAAATATTTTACAGTGTACAACACGACTGTTCAGACTAGATACGATCGCAACCCAATACAAGTCACTGTGTAGATGGGAGTGCCGCAGAAACAAGTAAGGCCTTATGCGAGTACCAGTAAATAAATGGTAAATTGGGGAAAATAGTAAATTATGTCGGTATGGCAGCGTATGCTGGTATATACCAGAATGTCGAGTAAGGTAAATTAGGCAAATATTAGATATTATCATTGTGAAAATTTTATAAGTGTACGAGTTCGAGTAAATTCATTTACTCTAATTTACCCGAACTCGCACACTTTTATGAGATAAATTGGTAAATAAGTGCAGTGCAAAAATTCCCTAGAGAATTTCAATTTATTTTACTACAATTTACTCGAACTTGCACACGGCCTAAATACGATCATGATTTATTTTGAAGAAAAATAAAATTACAGTAATACTGTAAAATTTAGTTTTATTAAATTATTATAATTATGAATGTTATTATTCATTTGAAATCAGTTTGTTGGGATACTATGAAATTAAAATAATGTAATAAAATAATGAAAATTTGCGTAATTAGGAGAAATTAGAAACATGTCACGGACTACACATATATTAGACGTGGACCGCATGTAGTCCAAAGCACAACCCTGGTGTATGTACATCATGACGGTAATGCTGAATATTTCGAATTCGAATGTTTCGAATCTAAGGATTAGAATTACTAAACAATTTGGAATTAAAAGTTATTAAAGAAGTACAACTGTACTTTCTATAGAATTTATTTTTCATTTTGCAATAGATTCACTTTTATCAAACACAGATTTTAGTATTTCAGGACTTTGAAAACATTTGTTAGATACGACGATATGCTAAACAGGTATATTTCCTGTGATTAGAAAATTCTATAAAATTTAATAAATTATATGAGATTAAAATGTTATCTTTAAATCCAACAAAAAGAAAATTACCTATTACTTCTTTGTAATAGGTAGGAATTATTTAAATTAATGTTATATGGTGTAGTGAAAAGTTTTTCCATTCTTCATGGTTCATCATGGCTTCCAAATTTTTTTACTTTTTATAAAATAAAATTTTTAGAATAAAAAATAAATTAAAAAAAAAATTAATAAATTTAAATGTTTGAATAAATAGAATCGTCTTAGTAAAAAAATTAATAATTAGCTTCATAGCTTATTGTTAGGTTGGCGCACAATAGATCTTTTAGGTCGGGGTGATTTTATAGCCTAATATGTAATATAGTTAGGTTTCCACGTTAAATATTTCCACAGTCTCAACACAATTTTATCACAATTTTTAAGCATTTTTTTACCAAATATATTAGATAAAAAAATTTAATTATTAAAAAATTACCACAGGCATTTTTTGGCTTATCCTTTGCAGTTGACAAAAAAAAAACAAAACCTCTTTATATGATATTTGAGTTTGAGTATAATTTTAATCTTTTTTGATTAGTTTTAAAACAAATAAAAGTAAAGTTAATTTTTTCGAAATTAAATAAATTAGTTAAAGCCGCGCACGCGCCTCGACGCAACAACACTTGACTAAAGTCAGCGAATAGTTTGTAAAGCTTTATAAACTGCCAAAATCATCATTAAATAATAGCAAGAAAAAAAAAATAAAATAAATAACATTTAAATATCTTTATTGTCTCGAATATTTTAGTGATGATTTTGTTAAATTTTTTTTTCTAATGAGTTATTTCGGCAGGTTGGCTTCAGGTTGGTTCATAATTCATTCGTTGCGCTACATTCGCACCGACATACAAGCTACTAACTTGCCACGCTTAACAAAGTATCTGAACGATATTTGACGCTGTTTCGATTGCAATATAAGAGCGCAGATACAAGTTTTGTACTTAAAAGTATGGAACTGAGTAACTTTTAACTGAGTGACTTTTAAAGTAGCTAATAAAACGTAGCATGCGGTAGCGGATGCGATATTTGCTAAAGATATTAAAAATTTTGTAATCATTAAAATTATTATTTTTATTTTTTCTGTTTTATTTTTATTTTTTATTTTTATTTTTTTTTTTAATTTTTTTTTTTTTTTATCACTTACCAGACACAAAAATCTTTTAATTTTAATTAAATTTTAATTTATTGCATAATTTGTTTTTGTACTAAATGGGTTTATGCGCTAAATTTTATGTAGGCAAACATGACAATATTTTTATTTATGACTTTTTAATGGATTGTAGTAAAAATTTTGTTTTATAAGCTATCAGGCATGTTTAATTGTTAATGAATTTGCTATAATGTGACATACTTTATTGCCTCAAATTATAATTTATATATTGTACATAAACAGAGAAATGATTTTAGTTATATAGGAAATGTATATTAGGCTTGGCGTGAATAAAAATCTATTATTAAATATTTTATTACAGCAAAAGTCGTAATATTTTATAATTATATAGTTTTTATTATAGAAGTTATCTATATACGAATACATATAAATAAATGTATATAGTGTGTTTATATATACATTTGATATAAATGCGAAAAATGATTATTTTATAAATGAAATCAAAAACATCGCATGGAAAAAGTGGTAGGGGGGAGAGGGGGGGGGGTGTGATTTTTAATATTTACCAAAATTCATAGTACATTAAAGAGTTTATATCTTAAAGAAAGCTAATTAGAACAGTTGTGTACTATACCAGTACGATCTGTACCGCCACACATTAGTACAAGAATTTGTAACAAAGCTCATGAAATGTGCTCATGAAAGTAAAGTAAAAATCATGTGGAGCAAAATGAAAAAGTAGACGATCAAGCTATAACTGGTGCGGTCCAGAGTCCAGAACATCATTGAGCCAGAACATGATCACGGCCTATGTCAATAGTTAAGTGGAAAGCTTCACTGCATCTCAAGAGGTGGAGAGAGATGAGCACTTGAAGACTGGCTAAACTTCTGATGCCAAAACCGATGATCAGTGAAGCGACAAAAGTGATTACTCCTTGATTACTGAACATGAAAACTTCAAATATCACCTCAAAAAAGAAGACACTTGCAATCCATGTCTAGAAGAAAAGGAGATAATGGTGCCTATATTGTGCCAATGTTTAATACTGACAAGCAGGAGGATGTCTTGTGACACCATTGGGCTGGTGATGACTTGGCAGCCAACCTTTAGCTAAATAAGCTGCGTGCAATAACAAGAGATGTAGTTATGTGAACGGAAGACACTTTAGCTATAATTTCATAACGACATTCGAGAGTTCGAAATACGAAACAGGGCCAAAGTCGTTTCGTGGTCTACTTCGGCTAATTTTTCACTTCAGCAGGACGAATTAATGGATTGTGTGCTTTTTCAGCGTAACATAATAAATATGTATATATATATATATACCATAACATTGCTACAATGGTTTTGCTGGCTTGGTCATGTTGTGTGAATGGAAGAAATTGCTTCAACTAGAAAGATGTTTAGTGGAAAGTGCGGTAAATGATGTCTGCCTCTTCAGTGAAAAGATTAAGTGACTAACAATTTAAATGCACTTAGTACCACCTACTGCCGATAGCAAGCTTTGATCGGGTTGGGTGGCGGAGACTATGGACATGGCTAAAAACGACATCTGTAATGAACATCTAATTAAATAACTCTGAATATATTTCTTAGTATCGTTTAATTTGATGCTTAATACATCCGTGCACTTAAGTGTATTCAGAACATATGATATTTCAAAATTGATTGAATGGAAAATTTTCAATAATGTGTGCGGAAAACTACATTTCCTTTAAATATTTTTTCTACCATTTTTTTATTTATTGTGTCTTAATATTTGTTCATTTCAAAATTTTCTGATAAAAAATTTTCTTTCTATCAAGTATCATTTTTTTCTATATATTATTCTATGAAAGTGCATAAAATCCTTAGTGGGTATGTGTAGAGAGAATAATAAGTATTGAATAGCCGATTATAAAGCTTAAAATTAACAAAGTAGCACTTTTTATTGATGAGAGATTCCATATTGTTATTAAAATATATAGCAAAATTAAATGTTCATAAATCATTCAATGCCCGTGGCAAAATTCTGTAAGCCGAACTCAATATTAAATTAATGGTTTGTAAAAATAACGTTGACAGGTTATAAAAAAAGTTATTGGTTTAATGTTTCATATATTTAAGGTACTTTAAATTAAGAAACAGCTTTAATATTCAGAGTTGTGCCTACATCTATTTTTTTGCAGTACATAGCAACAAGTTATTAAGAGTAATCCGTAGTATATTTTAGAGAAGTGTTTAATTTATTTTAAAATGTCAGACAAATACATTAAGACTGAAAAGTTTTCGGAAATTCTCATTTAAAATTCGCGCGCTGTATATTTTTCGATATTTTAAGTTTATGTAGTTTGGCAGCACTGTCCTTAATTCCTATGCCAAAAATGAGCGCGATCTGTCAGACAGTTCGTTTACGGCAGCTGTTGAAACCAGTTCACCTCAGTAGTGCGTTGCGAAATGTCTTCGACGGTCGTACGACCGTCCTGAAAGGCTTTGTACCACTCATAAACTTGAGTTTTCGATAAAACTGATTCCCCATAAGCCTTTTGTAGCATTCGCAACGATTCTGCACACGAAATTTCGTTCGAAACACAAAATTTGATGCAAACTCTTTGTTCAATATTTTTTTCCATTGTTTTTTTCGCAACGCACTACTGAGGTGAACTGGTTTCAACAGCTGCCGTAAACGAACTGTCTGACAGATCGCGCTCATTTTTGGCATAGTAATGTCCTTAAGTGCTGCCAAACTACATAAACTTAAAATATCGAAAAATATACAGCGCGCGAATTTTAAATGAGAATTTCCGAAAACTTTTCGGTCTTAATGTATTTATTTGTTCTTTAGTTTTATTTATTTAGTTTTTATTATATTATTAAAACTTTTTTTAAATGAATTAAATTATATAGAAACTATGAACTTAGATTAATCATATAAATTTTCCTTTGCTCTCTAAGATTAGCCTTTTGCTGTAGATATACCATAGTTCTTTTAGACGTGGCTTTAGGTTGTTTTTGATTCATCCAACCTAGAGGATCATTTGGTAACACGATAAGATACATCTTATCTAAGAGTATGTGTTTTTCTAAGAGTATGATCTAGCCAGTGGTATTTATGTTTCGATTTTTCATTTTTTATTATAAACGTAATTTTCACATGCCAAAAGCTTTCATTAGAGGTTTGCGCTGGCTACCAGATATATAAAATTGTTTAAAAACAGCGATTAAAAAATGTTTGCAGTTTGTATATTACTGTTCTCAGCATAAGCTATGTTTCACTGCCAGGAATTAGGGCAGATTTTAAAGTCTTTTGCAGTATAAATAATAATACTATTTTTTAGTATATAATATAATATGTTGTCAATATTTCTACATACATGAACTGGATTTCAACTAAAATTTATTTACTATTTAACTACTCGTATAAGAAAACTATATACACTTTCTTAACTTTTGTTTTATCAAGATTCATTTTTAAACTAGTGGACTTATTAATCGATGCTCTGAGTTTAGTTCGTATAACTTTATGATAATGTATTAATACAACAATGTCATCTGCATTAACTAAATCATCAAAATTACTCAGAAATTTCAATCTATCCCGATATTGCGATTTTCTATAATTTTTATTATCAAATCAAGCCAAAATTACCGTCATCAAACACTTTGCAAATGGTATCTTTCTAGCTAATTTTTTTAATATTTTTTGGTCTAATTAGTATATTTTTTGGGAACATACGCATAAAACTAATAAAATTCTATGAAATTAAAGATAGAAATACAAATCGTACACTTGGAGTGTTCAATATTTATCCCATTTGAACGCAGATGAACTGTAGCCTTCATTTATTCTATAAAATATCTTTGGCTCGTACACTACTATATAAGGTTCGGTTAGGTGGGAGTGACGGACTTGTGTTCGGAAGCTCATGCTTACAGATAGTTCTTATTTCCTATCAGGGATAAATTGTCACCAATTTTGGCGTTACCATGATTATAGAACTTCTTCTTTTGTGTTACATTATCGAGTGTGAGTTTTTGATCACCATACTATTTAAAAATATTTGTTTATATATTTTTTTTATTTTTTTTTTTACATAAATTACCCAAACATTTTTTTAAATGCCTTTAAATTTTTTCGATGTAAAACTTTAATCTCTTTACCATGTTTTGGTAGTTTGTGATCCATTTTTCTTAAACATTCTTCACAACTTTATTCAATATTTCCGTCATCGGTTACCAGTGGGAGAAAAATCTTTGAGTACCTTTCAATATGTAGAATTAATATTCGAAGAACTAAATGAAGAAGATATTGAACGTTATCCTTAAATCAAAATAAATTGTTTATCACAGAATGTCAGACGCTAAACGCAGAATATAGTAAGTTTTATAGCGATTGTGGGTCAAAATTTGACGAGTATAATCGGAACACTTAATAAATTTCGCTTATCAATAATGAGCCATTGTGCAAAGTCATCGTGGGACGTGATTTAATCAACTAAAAAGCTATCACTTTTACGTTGTATTTAATTGGTTTGGATCTCTGTGATTTTCAGTTATTTTACAAACCGAAATTGATAACGAAAGAAAGGAAATAGTTTAAATGGCCACCTAAAACACTAATACCAATATGCTATAGACAATTATGACCGCCAAGGAAAACAAAATATATTTCCAAAAATTTATTTAACGTTTTTACCACTATGTTGGTTTAATAACAGGTCATTTTTAAACACTAGTCTTCTGGTTAGCAGACTTAAGACACTACCGATTTTTGAAATATGTGATAGTTGATAGGCACTTATAAAAGAAAATTATTCTATTCAAGTTGAAATCAATTTCTCTAACTTTCAAGTAATCCAATCGAAAAATACTACGCGTGAATAATATTTAGGCTTAGAAGTAGTTTTAATTAAATGCAAAAATTTTATTTATTTCCATAAATACCATAAAAGCTGCGATTATTAAAACACTTTTGACTCACTAATATATTTATTTATTTTTCAAAATTTTGTTAAACTTTATTCTCATTTAAATCAACGTTTATTTTGATTTGAATTTATTGATGAAATAAATTTCTCATATATTTTTTTTGGCAGCTGATTCCGAATGTTAATAACCTACAAATATAAACAACCACTTAAGATGCGTTAAGAAGTATCTACTTCATAATCAGGTTAAGCTTTATTATGCTTTTTAGCTACTTTTCTATTGCCAAATAAAAATGCGAATAAAGCCAATATAAAGCCAGTTGAAATTTTGTAGATAAATTAAAGTTGAAAGGTGCATAACTTTTTAGACAAAATTATGTTTTGTATAAAATTCAAAAAAACTTGTACACTGCAAGTAAAAAGTATGAACTCAGCTTTTAAATGGTATTAAAATTTGAGAGAAACTTCATATCAGTTAATTAAAATATATTTTGTTAAGTTTTTTTACTGCCACATAATAACATACGTATGTGTACCCGAAACTTTTTACTCATATCAACTATAAATTCCAGATGGTGGAGACATTAGCGTTACCTAAAGGCTTATGATACTCATTAAGAAAACTAAAAAACTGACAGACAAAAAAACAAACGAGTCAACTAACGGAAAAGAGTCTAATTGAAGTGATATGTAATGCTGACTACTACTATTTTACGTAATATCTTTGACGGTTAATTTTCAAATAATTTCAAGATATTCCCAAGATATCACCTTTCGGATGGAGAAGATGCTAGAAGACGTGTTAAGGGTTCACACACTAGGAAGGCAGATAGACATATAGACAGGCAGATAGGATATCATTTTCGGCAGATAGGCAGCAAGACTTGGTATAGAGTACGGATGACGTGATCACTTATATCTTTATTCCATTGATCAACGTCATGCCCTTAAAGATGTTAAATGCACAATATTAGTTGTTACTATAAGCATTAAGTACGTCAAACCATTCGGCATTTAAATTATAATTAATTAAATATTACTTTAAATATTTTTATAAATCTACATTAAAATAATAGGTAGCTTTGACATCATATGAGTAATAATCATCATAAATATATCTAAGTTCAAGTTTTTATTTTAATAAAATTTTAGATATAGAAAATTTGCATAGACTATTGATTATAAAAATTATTGATTAGTTACTCATTTATGGATTTCTACGTCCTCAATCTTAATGGATATTAGAAGATATACTAGCCATATATTGTGTTATCAAGTTTTAAAGATAAATGTCATACCTCATAGTGACATATGCCATTTCCATTTTAGTTTTGTAAAATCGAAGCACCTGAGTAAACTTAAGAGTAGGGAACTATTTTTAATTTGGACGATATTTAATTATTGACAGCAATACATTAACAGTAACGAATGTACACTCTGAATTTAAGTTCAGAGTGTACATGGGTCGTATTTTTACAAATCGGTCAACTTTTTGACCACATCACCTCCGGTTGGGCTAAACTTTTTTTCGGGCTCATTTCATAAAATAAGAACACCCGTATCTCAGGAAAAAGTTTTGAAAATTTTTTTCCTAGGAGATATGACCACATGGGGTTTTGAGAATTGGCACTGTAGACATATTTTTAAAGGGATTTGTAAACGAATGACCTACACACATATATACATAAATAATTTCTCAACTGCGAATTTCACTATTCATATGGGTTAAAAACTATTTCCACGGATATTGTCTTGTGGATTTTGGGCATTATGAAAAGAAGTTTATAGTTAAACTTTGAGAGTATGATCAAATGACAGGGCAAGTTTTCATTTACCAAGTAATAGGTGATTTTGTATTGAAAAACTATTAATTACTTTGTAATTTCCATAACGGTTTTAGATGTTTTAAATGTAAAAGTAAAATTTTTTGTTAGGTACCATTTATACAATTTAAATTAAAGGTGTTGAATTCAAACAACATGTAAATCATTAAGTCCTTTACAACAATTGAAAAAAATTTGAAACTCATGGAGCTTATAAGACCCTTATAGTAAAGGTACATGAACTTCGGTCTCAATTTAGAAATTCAGTAAAATCGCTTAAATAAATTTGTATTGAAATATAACTTAAATATGCTTAAATACAATAATAACTTTTTTTTCAATTCAGCAAATTTCAGTATAGGTGATAGAACACCCTAAACAACTGCGTTATGGGCGTTATAACTAGCTGTCGATAACATCATTCTAGTTCATCTTCTGTTGGGATGATCGTATTGTCAGTATAGCTAAGTGAAGAATTAAAAGTGTATCAGACACTATACTTAATATGATCACCATATAGATAATTTTTTGCTTTTCTTATCGTTGATTATACATATGATGACTTTTAAATGTGTTTCATGTTAGAAATACATTTTGTATGGAATTGCAAAAACAACTACATTGTATGAAAAGTGCATTTTATATTTTCGTTTTAAATATATTCGGCAGCCAGTGTCAGTTATTTATGATTTTTATATTTATAACGCAAAATTAATAGTTATTTGTGCGTTTTAAAATAAAAAGCAGAATTTTAAGAGTTAGTTGTGCGCGAAAAAATAAAAGGCACATAAAATAATTATTTTTGAGGAATATAATATAGAGCAAATTTAATTATTATTTTTGAGTTTTATTTTAAAATGCAAATGATAATAGTTATAAGCTGTTCCTATTTTTATTATTATAACTATAACGGTTCCTGGTTATAATTGTTATTTACAACAGCGTTTTTAATGTCCGCAAAGCGGACTACGGACTGTCTAAAGTTTTGTGTCATTATCTTTATTAGTTCGTAAAATATCTCTACGTTATTGTCATTCACGATATTTTGATACCGATGAATACAAACTAAATTGTATATTTTTCGGATCCGCAGTACGTTTTGGGTTGTGAAACTTTTTGGTCTGTAAGAAAGATGAAGATGAAAGCTATATTTAGTTATTTGTTATTTAGTTTCAACTCAATTTAAAAGATTGATCGAATCATGTAAATTCTATGTAATAAACACAGACTCTATAAACCACCTTTTTATTGTATTATTTACATAAATCTGATATAAATTATGTTATCCGTTATAATTCAAATTTTTTTCACATTAAACTATAGGTATTGATGCAAATAAGTTGTATTTAGAGGAATTTTTGCATATCTCTGAGTAATTCATAATTCCATTAAATAAATTGTTGTTGTGCATAATTGAAAGGCGAATAGTATCTTTGTTTTTTTTATTATTAATTTTGTGTTTATGATTTTATTTTATTAAATTTCATTAAATATTTTTTAATTTATACGGATTTACGCCTTTAGCATATTTTTGATTTTATACACTTCGAATTAGATACTTTTAAGTATCTTAAGTTCAAGCAAAACTTTCAGAGTTTCAAGAAGGTTGTTGTTTCGTATGTTTTGTATCTATAAATGAGGCTGTGTGATTGCCGTATTTCAGATGACGACGTACAGATGTTGAAATTGTAAAATTATTGCGATGAGGTAATCATTATTTATTTTACAAATTGTTTATAAATTTTTTTCATGCAAGAAAAATTGCTTTTGCTGCTGATGTTCAGATTGATTTGTTAGTAACAATTGAGAAAAGTATTGTGAATAGGTGTAGCAAATTTAACTTCCTCCGTTTGGGATTATGATAAGTATAAATCATTGTTTGTTAATGAGCTTTCGGCACAAATTTGTATATTTCATACTTTGTGTTTATACACTATAATAAAGATAAAATTGATAAAATTATTATATAAATTAAAATTGTTTGTTGGTAGTTTTAAGTAATTTATACATTTGTGCCACTGTGCCGCTGATAGCTTAGAATTGTTAAGAGAGATTTTGCAAGGTATTTTGTATGTTGAGGTTTTTTTTGTTTATAACTATTTTTTCTGTCTGTTATTTTTTACTTTGTTAATAATTTTTTTATCGGTTGACGCTTTGAAAAATTTGCTTATTTGTCATCGACGCACAACGGCTTCGACATAAAACTAAATACAAAGTCTTACAAGCCGCTCAGTCGTCAACATTTCACTTTGGCTGTAGGAAGCATAAAAACGGAGTTACAAGATTCTTAGAACCAATAAATTTATTTGTAAAAAAACCGCAAATTCACGGCTTAATAGTATTAATAAAAATTATTAGCAACAAAAACAAAATCAAAATCGAATAAAAAAAAATAAAATCTTTAATTAATTTTCTTGTAATTTTTGGCAACCAACATGCAAAGCTGTCAACAAGTTTTGGTAAATTCCGAATTTGATTAAAATTAATTAAAATCGTTTGGTTCATAAATCAAATTTAATTAGTGTTTAAAAATAATAATGTGCTTGTGCTAATTATGTGCCTTCAATTATTTTACAGTACTTGACTTTATTGTTAACCTTTTGTATTATTGGTACATATACCGCACCCACTGCTGAAGCTGAAGCATCTGCCGAAGCTGAAGCAAAGCGTCGCACAAATGAACCACAATTTGTGGTGATTTCAGAGGATGTCATACCAGATGTGGAGAACACGACACAAAAGGTCATACGTGTAAATCCATTGGATTTACCATCTGTTAAAGATGACCCCTCTGGCAATATGGACTCGTCTTTGTTCAAAATTCAATCATTGCAGCCGTTCTACCGCAGTTACGTAAACTCCAAACGACTACGTAAGCCACGTCCATTGGAATTAAATGCAGTCACTGATTCACCCATACACCGTGAGGTCAAAGCGCGCAACACAAAACTAACCAACACATGAGCAAAAACATTTGGGCACTTTTTACAATCAAGCAAATGGCTTGGAAGATGGT